GAAAAACAGCAAGGAACACTACTCATATAGGTATTGTACCCGTACTGCACTGTACAATGGCAACAATAATTAAATTGGAAATATGTGAATAAAAAATGTACACTGACTTTGGCAAGGACTATCATAGGAAGAAGATGACGACGACGACGACGAAGATGAGGAAGAAGATGAGGAGGAGGAGGAAGAGGAGGAAGATGGTGATAAGGATGACGATCCCTTTCTTTCATACCCTGTTTTGCACGTACAAAAAGTTGAAGCTCCTGTTAATGCGTGACTGTTTGAGGGACATTTCCGGCATAAATCGTTTCCGCTCTGTGACTTGTAAGTGCCTCTGGCGCATTCTGTAGCGCGGAATAATATAATATAATTTGGGCTTTCAAAATCAGCTGGAGTAAAATTATTCAAACATAAAAATCTGTTTATTTCTAAATGTTTGAAAAATTTGTTTTTTTTAAATAATTTAATTAAAAGTGTTACGCACAGCTCACCAGCTGCGTTGATCAAACTCAAATATTCGCTCTGGGACGCGTGTTCAAGAACAAATTATGGTAACGATGGTAGTGGTAATATTATTATTATTATCATCACTATTATTACCTAAATTTTTTATAAAATGATTTAATTCAACAAAAAAATTTGAATGAGTTTCTTCAAATATGTGTAGCATGTTTTATTAAATAAGTGTGTTCTTTTTACAAAATATGTTACACGTGAAATTAAAAACGCTTCACAAAACTGACGGCAATAACAAAAATTTCAAATATTTAAGAGCACGATTTCGATTTTAAAATCGAAGTCGAAATTAGTTATTGTGCCTACGCTCGTGCTCAATAATTCTCAAATAAGTCTTTCAGTGTTATGTAAGTATTTTAAAAAAAATCGATTGAAGTGAGAAGAAAAAAAGACGGAAAATAATTTCAAGAATTATTTTGAAAAAGTTGTAAAAATAAAATCATAAATCCAAGATAAAGAAATAAAAACCTGTGCAGTTGTTGTGGCTGTTGTTTGGTTGGTACCCAGCTGAACAGTGGCAGCCCTGCGTGGCCGAATCAAACCAAACCCCGTTGGCCTGGCACAGCAACTTCACCACATTACTACTGGGTCGTCGACCGGTCGAGTCCACTGCAATTGCGTTGTCGATGCAAGCACCGTCGACTTCGATGACCGATGTCTTGTCGGAGCTCGTGAAAGTCTGCGGGTAGTTGCTGAAGTTGCGCAACTCAGCTGGACACGCTGTGTAGTAGACGCGGAGAGAATAAATGTTGATGCAAGGGTACATGTCCATGAATGCCAGTCTCAAACTTCTGTCATCGCTCTCAATTGTCGATGAATCGAGTTCAAGTATTTGAGAAATGTGATTATAAACAAAACTTTCCGCGGTCGATAAATTTGTCGGTCTAAATTTTTCGATTCTCCACAAGTTGTTGGGAGCGGAACTCTTCTGACTGGACCTGTCGAAGGCCATCTGAAAATACAGCACGCAATCTTCCTCGCTACATTTCGATACACCAAACACGACTTCGACAAACACGCTGTTTAGACCTCTCGGGACCTGGATGTTCGGAGTTACGATCCATTCGTGCGTCTCTGGCTTAAACATGCCTCCGCACGTTGTGTAGGCCTGGTTGTTCGTGCCATCCAATGCCGTGTAGGACAGCTCCACCCACTGTTTCGATTTAAAAATTTTGTTGGTTCACTCGGATGTTTAACTTTCATGATGTTATATTATTAAAGTTTATTAACTTTTTATGATGATCAAAATTCTTGAATGTGCGATTCAAGAGATGAATATTATTTGTTGTGCATCTCTTGATTAAGCACTATCAAATTATTTATAATCTTGCTTATTAATTGAAAATAATTGTCCAAAACTATCAGATTAACAAACAAAATTGCCAACTACACACACACGCACACACACACACGCACACAAACGAGAACACGCACACACGTACGCATACACACAAACACATACATATAATTACATACACACAAACACACACACACACATTTGTACATACATATGTACAGACATTTAAAAGCTATTAAAATTAAGAGTCAACATCATGGAGAAAAAAAGACAGTAGAATGTTAACATAGATATATGGAGAGGGACGGGAGTGCGGCGCATAAAGACTCATTGGTATTCCATTATTGTTGCTGTAAGAGGACTTCATGAAACTATTTACACGTACTTACTACTAGTTTGTGCATAAATACATATTACGATTGTCCCATACATACATATTGTGACGGTACTATACACGTACACGAGTAAAGTGTACAAAGTAATATGTATACATGTGTATATGCGCGTGTGTGTATGTATTGTGTATGTATGTATGTATGTGCATATGTGTATCGTATGTAAGTATATATGTGTGTATTGTTGTGTATGCGTGTGTATTAAAGTACGCAAACTAATATGAATACATGTGTATATGCGTGTGTATGTATGTGTATTTGTGTCTGTGTATTGTATGTATGTATGTTTGTGAGTGTGTTTGTGTGTGTGTTCAAGTGTAACGATGTAAATTAAATGGTTTGTAAAGCAAAATGGGTGATATTTTTCACGTGTTTTGCTTGAAATAATGTTTTGCCTCGCTGATTTTTTGTGTCTGTTGTTCACGCATAAATGATACATGCGTACGCACGTACGTACAATTTATTGTAGTTTATGTGTGACGTAATACGAAGATGATGAGGATGAATTGTTGGTTTTTTAATTTTTTCATTTGTCTGCTCTTTGTGTTGAAATTTTGTTTAGGAAAGTTTTTGGTTTTGAAAGTGGGAATTTCTATGGATGCATGTTTTTCCATTGCCACATGTAAGTAAATTATCAACAACAATAATAAAACGCTTCCATGCTCACAAACAAACATTTTCTAATTGGAAATAATCGCTTTGACAGTTTGTATACAATTGAATAAATAATGATATACCTATATTTATATAGTGACAATATTTATAAAAGCAAATTTTCATATTATTATTTTTATGAAAATTATTTCACATAAATATCAACACAAAATTGTTTGGGCAACATGCAACAAATATAAAATTTTATACACTACAAACATACATACAATTTGATACAACATACAAACATGAATACAATTTGATACAACAGGCAAACATTTGTATCAGAAAAAAAGAATCAATGCACGACTTGACAAGTGCCTGCTCAGTGCAAAATTGCACACAAAATAATTTTTCGTTTGTTTTTGATCCAGTTTTGGTACATATAATCCAACCAGCAAGTACAAAATTACAAAATGTACTTTATCACGTGATAATGAAGTCTCAAGATATTGGACGAGTACAAATGCACTAAACCCACCAGTACAGATGTACTTAAGTAGATGTTACTAAGCTTACTTTCACGTACGCACTTACTTGCACTGAACGAGGCCTGGTTTGATCGATTAAACAGGATTTCCTCCGCCTGTCCCAGGCGGTGTTCTTCCTTCATACTACTGTTATTATAACGCCGTTAATAAAAGTGCCATTCCATCGCCAACACTTAGGTCATCATCATCTCCTGCTAATAAAGTTCGTGATAATGTTAACAACAACAAGATGTTGGTAATAAAAGTCGAGAGGGTTACTGGGCATTTTTGTCATTTTTATTGCACCTTTTTTAATATGAGAATTCACCATTTCGAGATATTTCATTTCGTTAGTCGACTTCCTTCTCGCTCTCTGACACGGATGTTTTTAATGCTCATTCCTGCTTCTCACATATACTTCCACCTACTTATACCGTTTTCATCCACTTACTTTTTTCTCACTCTCTCACTCATTTTCCAACATTATAGATAATTTTTCCTAACATTAAATTTTTTCTGGCACCCAACCATTTCTCACTCTCTCTCACTTTTTATATCGCTCTCATGTCCACTGCTTCGTCACACTCCTTCATTTTGATCATCAACCCACACACAAACATACATGAAAAAACACGGGTCTACCCTCCAACAAGTCACAATCTCTCTTCAACTCTCCCACAAATTATTATCTCAACTCCAGCCGTACATTTTGGAATGTCAAACGTTGATGGCCGATCAGAAATAATATCAAAACCACTAGAACAAATTCATGCATGGGTGAATGCGTGCATCCATTCATTTATTCATTCAATCATTCAATCAATCATTCATTTATGTGTCCATTCATTTGTCAATTTATTCATTCATTCATTTATTTGTCCATTCATTCATTCATTCATTCATTTATTCATTCATTCGTCTATATATCAATTCATTCATTCATCTTTTATCTGCTCGCGCTTGTATTTGTTTTTCAGTTGCACTTTCGA